GTTTGGTATAGTAGCTAAAATATCAGGCTAGAAACCAAGAGACTGAGTTTTAATCCTGCCTTAAGCATGAAACCAGCTGGGTGATCTTGAGCCAGTCACTTTCTCTCAGCCCTAGGAAAGAGACAATAACAAAACACTATTGAAAAACCTTGCCAAAGAAACTGCAGAGACTTGTCCAGGCAATCTGAAAATCAGACATGATTGACAAGAAGAAAAAAATTGAAGAAATACACAAAACTGTAATACAAAGAACCAACAATAATTTTAATAAACATTAGGCAGTAAAATATTATTTAAAAAGAGATGCCTTGCTGATATCTGAGATGGACAGCAATATAACTTCAATCAATCAACCAATAAAATCAAATATAAGTAAGGTAGAAAATGTCCCCATCTCAATACAGGGAATTCTACATAAAAATTAATGTTACTAAATAAGTACAATTCCACAATTGCCATCAACTGTCAACATTAAAATTCTGTGAGTGCATAATTTAGTAGTACACATAAGAGTTTGTAAAATAGGAACAATTTTAATCCTACTTTACTTGTTAATCATTTCTGATCATCTGAAAAGTGTCTGTTTACTGCATGTTCATTCAAAATGGTTGCAAGTAAATAATAGCATGTTGGCTTGCCTGATACGTTCTGATTCTAGCTTGCATAGAATATCATGTGCATGCTTGGAGTAAAATGCTTAAAGCATGCTGGACTTTGGTTGTACTTATACCAGATGTGCCAAAACTGATTGTCTTTACTATTAGTTGTGAATTGTCTTGTCTTTGTGAATGCTGCACATGTCACACATACAACCAAAGTTGTTAATTTAACTTACAATTTTTTGGTTTATTAAAAGCAGTAATTGAAAGCTTTGAATCACAAGTATCATGATGGACAGCAAGGTTAATATCTATGGGTACATTCTGGCCATGTCAGATAGACAGTAGCAACTTGTAATAGCTAAGAGCTTTTAAGCACAATCTAAAAGAAATGAAAGAGGAAAATAATATGCTGTGTTTAGGAAACGAAAAGAGAAGGCTGTAACAGATCTGAATTAAAGTGTTATGATCTTGTTATGTTGATTACAAAATAGAAGAAACCAAGAACATTGGTTTCATTAACAAACATTAGTGGCACAGAACACCACACTGAGCCAGAAGCACATTTCCTGAGAACTTCTTCCAATATCCCCTGGCAGTAACTGTACTTAATGTCAAACCACTGTGAGTCATCATCACTGGTTGAAAATTCTGGGTATTTCAGTTTCAATACATCTAAAGAGTGCCCAGCGGCTTTAGAAGGCAAAGAATTTTGTATGCAGATGGCAAGGATACATGAGATGGAATGGATCTATGCAGCCATCTCTTACATTTGCCTTTTCATCAGCCCAATTACTATCATTTAATAGTATTTTTAATATTCCTCCTCCCAACCCCTGTATCAAAATTCTATCTATCTATCTATCTATCTATCTATCTATCTATCTAATCTTACTCTAGGTGAAATGAATCCTGGTTCTTCTAGAGTTAAATCTTTAAAATTAGGTCTTGCTGAAAGAAAGCTGGCTTGGTTTCCTAGCAACCACTGCATGGGATGCTACTGTCATTCACTGGATACTTCCCTGGAGAGTCAACCTTCTGCTCATACAAAACAGGTTATGATTGGGTAGAGATGACATCACACGATTTGACAAGAGATACAAATTGTTCCAAAGGCATCTCTGAATGCAATGACTTTCAAACTCATTCAGGAAGAAATCTTTTTGTTTTAAGTAGCTTTCCGTAATGCAATGATCTCTTGATGTTTTGGGCTACAGTTGCCTCAGGGCTGAATTAAAGCTTCTGAATTCATAAAGCAAAATTTCTGTAAAGGTATCATTCCATCCTTGAGAGCCTTCATTAGTTTAGCTAATCTTAGCAAGAGAATCTGTAGAAAGAAAGGTGAGTGAGTAGTTACCAACTATTATTGGTTACATAAGAAAAGTATAGATAGTGAAAGAATATTTTTCAGACATCCAATTTGTTTCCACGTTTCAAGGACATTTTTGAATGAATACAAGTCCTCTACAAATGTATGTGAAGGGAAGCAATATATATGGAGGCAAAGCCGTACAAGTACTCTTTACTCCTCGAATCAAGTTGTGCCACATATTAGGGATTAAAATTATGCAAAACAGACATAGACACAGACTCCTCTCTTGCAGAATATAAATATTTAATATACATATTTCCTCCCCCCGGCCCCAACTTTTAAAACATCTTTTTTCCCAATTTGGAATTTTTCAGATGTGATGAACTTTATTTCTTATAGAAAAATGCTGCTGAATTATGGGAGTTAAAGTACAACAAAACTGCAAGGCACCAGATTGAGGAAGGCTCTTCTACAAGCTTCTATATTATTTAGGATACTCATGAACCTATCTATAAACTACCTCTTGTCTTCTAAAATCCCACTTCACTTAAAGTAAGACATTGGCGGCAAGTTGATGTTGAGAAGCTGGTTTATACAACTTAAGTTTTCATAAAATGTACATGTACCAAGTAATTGGACTGCATGTTAAAGCAAATTATAACTGGCTTTCCATGTTGCTCAACAGCTGAGCATTCTCCTTTCGTGTGAATGTTGCAGTGTTGATCACCAATATCTCAATTTATAAGGATCTCAAAGGAAAGGGACTAGAAAAGCGTATGGCTTAAGAACATGGGCAATGCCACTACGTTACTAAAAACGTTTAAATGACCATCATTGCCTTTAAACATGTATTTATATCTCATCTTTCCTTCAGAAATTTGAAGTGCTGAATATAGATCTTAGTCCACCCATTTTAATTAACTTAGCAGAAAACTTGTACAGTAGGATAAGCTAAGTGTAAATCACCAGCCCAAAAATCACTTTGCAAGGTGGATGACTGGGTTGATTTGAACTTATTTCCCAGTTCTAAATCAATGCTCTAATTATTGCTAAATGCTTCATGTGTACATGCATACTGTAATCTGAAGCAGCCAGCTGAGTTAACCATGTCAACAAATGTAATAAAACTCTGAAGGCTTCCAGTATTAATCTAACTTTCTGAGGTCTCATCATTTTATTCTCATGACAATCCTGTGTTCCTCAACATGAGAAACAAAATCAGCAGCACAAAACATTGAGTTTAGTATTTGTAATGAAATTTCAGAATATTGCAGGAAAAACTGAAGTGAACCCTTGAATGACAATTGAAACCATGAAGAAATCACGAGATGTTTTTCCAGCACCTGTCCCCTCCAAACTGTCTTTTATATTATTGAAACAAGTTTTAGAGGGAAACACATTTCCTATATACATGAAATTAGAATCGTAACTTTTTATGTCTGCATGCAAGTGAAGAGTGGCTTTTTAGTAACTGCAAGAACAGAACAAATGACAGCAAAAAGTGAAGTGTCAAAAAGCACGCAACCAAGAATTACTTCCCGTATGGGTGTCATCACACAGTAGCTAATACTAGTATGCAAAACTTGTAAACTCCAGTCCACTTACCCCACCCCAAATTTTTTTGGTAAGGGTTTCTTTTTTGTTTTTGTCCCTCTGAGTGATTGTTGACTCCCGGCAACTGCCTTGAAAAGCCCCTGCCATTTTCTGGACAAGATTTCAAAATTGGTTTGCCATTGCCTGTTTCTTTTGGGAGAGAGAATGACTGGCCCAAGGTCACCCATGTGCCCCCCCCCGCCCCAAGGACTTCACAGCCTCCTGGTTACTAGCCTAGAACCTTAATCACCACATCAAATGGTGTTCCCTTTCTATGGAAAATGTAAAATATAAGTTTTGCTGTATTATCCAAAAGGCAAAGAAAGCCATTACTCCAAAGTGTTATAAAACAAAGTTTATTTTGAAATATTTTATCATAATGAATTGCATCTCTTTGGTAAAAATAAACTCCATCAACATTTTAATTAATAGAGGTTAGCATACAAAAACATTTTTAAATCAGGTCAACTACTAAACGGGGCTCAAGGGATTTCAGGTTAGAAAGGGGTTATCTACTGGCAGAGTTAGTCTCAGTCAATCCAAGAAGTTGCAGGGGCAGGTGATGGAGAAAAACAGCTAATGTAGGTTTTAAAAAAAAGAATTTTGCTTACTTTGATCTGAAAGCATTCTTACAATTTCCATTTTTAATAAATAGTTACAGTGAATTGGCAATTGTAAATGGTCTATCACTACAAAATGGCAATGTAATACTTTTAAATTATACCCTTTAAATCTGAAAAAAATACACTTCTAAAAACAAATCTTTTCTTGGCACTGGCAGTTAAACTGTGAAGAATGTGCTTTTTCAAATAAATGGCAGGTACAAGTTTTTAAAAAATACTCTATTCCTCTTTTTCAATAAATATTTTGACTACCCCATCATTAGCATTGCAGGGTGTGCTTTGCTTTACTGTCGTATTTGCTTTAGCCAAATAAAGAAGCTGCAAACTGTTCCAATTCAAAGTTGGGCTTTTCTAAGGAAGGTTGCCTGCACTTCTCACAGAAGCTATAATTTAGCTCCAGTATATGAAAGATTTGCACAATACTGGCATCAGCTTATACCTTAAGAACAGGTGGGTCTCCCGCAGGAAGCTCTGCATGCTAATTTTTAAGAGTTGAAGAGGATCAGATAATATTCCATTATCATCTCTTTTTTCCCTGAAGCTAAACTAATTTTCTGAAAGGAATTTACTTTAAAAAAAAATTAAAGGTAAGATTATACTTTGCATCTAAAACAAAGCATGTCCATGTGTGCTTCTCCTGACTATGATGTATACAATCACTGGCCAGGGGCCACGATCTGCACACACTTCCTCACAGGTAGCAGACAACAATATAGAATGCATCAATGCTGCCTGACCAAGAACAACTGATTCCATATGTTAATAGGGCGCAGACTGGCTGGGCTAGAGATGTTCTCTGTGCAGCAAATACATGTCACACATATCAGTTCCACGCTATTAATCATTGCAACCATCCTTAGCCTTTTTTTTCCCCTCCCAAGAGATATAGCAATGCTGACAAGGACTACTACAAGTTTGTAGGACCAGCACAGCTAATCTAGCACATCCTGAGATGCATGCAATGGTGCTAAATCATCCTATTTCCCTTTCTTCTGAAATTTATAAAGCCATTCATATATCTGTAGTCATTCCAAATACCCAACATAGGTTCTTTTAGAAGCTAATGCATCAGGAAGGATTCTAGCCTACTAGTTTTCTACGTGCAAGAATTATTCTTTCATGAAACCAAACTTAAGAGTAGATAACTCTACTACTGTTCTGAATTGAACATCCACAGAGAGTGCGGATACATGCTCCATCCATATCACAGCTACTTCACAATAATAGATCTCTAACTTGCTGATCAGAACCCTGGCCATTCCCATTTGTTCTGGGCTGACCCTAGAGTGCACACATTTTACTGAATGGAGAGAGGTGCATGATTGCAATAAAGGCATTCCCATTTACTAATCTAATATACTAGCACCATCTGGATGTGTTTTAGACCTGAGAGTCACCATCCAGGTCTTGTGAACGGCAGGCAAGCACGTGCAGCTCAACTTACACAAGTGGCAGACAGTGCATGCAGTGCGATCCCCGTCCCCCCCACCAGCCAGGCCCCCAAAGCTGCAAAGGCTAGGGACCACTATTTTAGATATACCAGAGCTACTTAATCCTAAGCAAAGAAAATGAGGACTTCCTTGCAAAGATATGAAAATACTTATTTCTCTTTGAAAATTAGAACAGTAAGTTCAGTGTAAATTTTGGCTATAGGAAGACACACATATTTTGTGAATACGGCTAGTAAAGGCAAAAGAATAATAATGCAGCTTTTCCCCATATCCACAAGAACTTGGATATGGCAGTTCCCTTCTTCATGGAATTTCCACAATGAATTTAGAGATGAAGCAAATCTAATGTATTACAACATGTTGTTCTACCCATTCTAGAGAAAGTACGTATGTAAAATCCCTGCTTGGGATCTCTTCAAAATGGGAGGTGGGGCAAGATATCATATTTTTGCAACTCAGAAAGCACCATGCATATAGTAAACAAGCATATAAGGAGGAAAAATCTAAACCTCTCTCCAATATGCTATTTGCTAGCTGCACATATATTACTTCCCATTTATAGGCAGAAATTATACAATCAGAGGATTTCCCAAAGTCATGCTATGTAAGGTAACTAAGATTGCAAGCATCTACAATCGTAGCTCTTTAAATCTGGGCTTTCTGAAGCATCTGTTCTCACCAAATGCTTTTATTGCTCTGCCTTTGGACTTGAAGACCAACAGGGAAAGTGCTACCAATGTTAATAATCACTATACATTTTATATCATAGAGGTGACAATAGACTTTTTCGTAATGGGAGGACATGAAAAACAATTGTGTACACATCAACTTTTGTCTGGAGAAAAGAGACTGAAAACAGACTTTTAACAGGTCAAATGTAAGACGACAAACCTGAGCAAAGGAGCTCTTAGGGAAAGTAGCCTCAAGAATGAAAATCTGGCCAATGTGTATTGAGAACTGAACTCAACTCTTCTCAACTTTCAAGAGATAAGACCCAAAGAAACACATTTCTTTATAACCATATTACCTGCATTGCTATGGAAACAAATTTCACATCACGCAAGTTATTAAACACACATTTTGGACAAATGTTAAATGGGACATCTCTGCACAACATACAGGACTTAAAATGTGCCTCGGCAATTAATATACAGGCTTGCTTATAAATTTGTGAATGGTGACTTTATATTAAATCCCCATGCTTAGGTGCTCTGGATCATGTATATAGTACAATATTCTTCACTTATCCACGTTACCACAAAAACCCCATTTCATAGGAAGGATATATGACTAGAACCATTCAAAAGGTCAGATGAGAATTTTGCTTTCTATGAATTGACCTAAAAGTCTTCAATTCCCATGATTTCTAAGGTGAGATTTTTGTGAATCAATTCTACCCAGTAACGACCTAATTACTAAGCAATTATACAGTATTTCACTTTCTATTTATTGACTGCTTCTTTTATTTAACTTAGGTACCTTTTGGCAGAAAATATCATACTTCTCAAGCAGTTATTTAAGACTCTTCTCAAAGAGTCTTAAATAACCTCGACTTAGCATGTTTGCAGGGCATTCTAGACTTCCACATGCTCTCTTACAAAAGTAAAACCTAATAACACTGTGAGTTATATTTTGTAGCAGTCATACAATGGAAGACCCTATTCAAAGAGGGGCAAATATTATTTGACAGCAAATAAAAACAATATATTGAAAGCAACTTTTAATCCATAGGTCTTTTTCCAATTCTCAATCGCTATGCTGTGGTGGAACTCGCATTATTGATTAATGAAATTAGAAAACAGGAAGTTATACAAAATCTATCAGAGTTGGAAGTAGACCCCTACATAACTCCTTCCTTAGCAAAACCTAATCAGCAGGTTATTTCAAAAGCGATTCTGGCAAGCAGGCAGTTTTTCACCAATCCATGAGAATTTCTGGATTGAAGAGCTGAAGCAGGCAATATACAGAATGAGCACCATTTGTGTTTAAACTTGACATCAAAGAAAGTTGTCTACAAACAGGTGAGCGTGCAAACATCCATGCATTAGATTTTTGTTTCTGTCTATAAAATAACAATGTGATTACAAGGTTGACTCACTTATAGGTTGCTATCATTTTAACAAAAAATTTATTCTGAAATACTAAAAACTACATAATTTCTTACAAACTTAAGGCCTACACCAGGAGAATCTCTGCTGATATTATTCTAATAGCACTGTCCTGGGTGTGCTGGGACTGCAAATCTCAAAATTTCCATTGTTCATGGGAATTCTGTGACTTGCAGTTACACTACAGCTGGATGTTGCCAAATTAAGGGAAGCTGTAACAGTAGCAGCATTCAACAAAGTAGGGCTGTGCAGTGCTTTGCATTCTAAGGCAAAAAAGCACATTGCAGCATATGGGGTATGAACACTACACCTCTCTGCTTTTTTTTCCTAGCTCAAAATACCTGTCAGTTGCTGGGAAATCTCAGGAAATGATAAGTGTGATTTAAGGGATTGTAGATAGGTGCTAAGTTATTTTCCCCATAAGCTCTAAAGGACCATTTTGCCTTTGAATCTAAAACTCTACACAAGCCTGCAAGAAACCTCAAGGGGGGAATCGCTCCTCTTAATTCTGGAGCTCTTATAATCAGTCCAGTTAGGATCACTGGAACCTGGCTAAGGCATTGAACTCCTACAGAACACTGGACAAAAATTACAGTGAGAGTTTTCAGCAGATATAAAGAGACAGTATGCAAGAACAGGCAGTGAAGTTAAGTCCCAGACATTTACACCTTTGACACTTTTATCAAAGCAGCTCTATGTCATCAGTAGAAATGTAATGTACAACTCACAAGAATGCAAAATGCAGAGATAACAGGCAGGTTTGCTTAAAGGGCCACTAATGGACTCTCTTCCCTTTCATTCTCACAGCATAAAAAATGTGCGGATGAAATGCCATTTGTCAAGCTGCTTTCCAAACAAGTTATGCTTTGATCATTATGCAACATTCAAGACATTCACAGAACACAACAGCCCCAGCCTGTAGCATGCAAACATTTTTTTTTGCAAGTGACCACTGAAAAGTAATGGAATTGCATTAATGGATTGCAGCCAAAGACGGTTGTGCCAGCTTGGAGCGTCCTGTTTTTCTGAGTTAAGCTCATTGTTTTCAGTGCTGTTTGTTCCAACCAGGAACGCCTGCCGCATGACTCCAAACCCATCAATGTGGCTGATGGTAACAAAAAAAAAAGATGATACAGTTTGGCCCTGTACTTCAGACTAACTGTCCCACAGGCAAATAACTGCCCCCATTCCAACTGTGTATTAGCATCCAATCAACACAGCAGCGTTAGTAGCCCTATGTCCTCTCTTATGGCCTCCAGAATTGAGAAGATGCACAACTGTTTCTGAATAAATGCCCAGGAGAGACAGAAGTCCACAATTTTAGACAGCTGGGATACACAAATAAATGACATCTGGATTCACTCTTCCAGAATTTGAATTCCCCAATACAGTGCACAGAAACAGGTAATTCTCATGTTACATGGTCCAGGCATTGTAAATATTATGTTCTGTGCAACTGTCACGCTGCATCTGGACTTATCTCAGAATTCAACATGGGAGATTATATTATTGCTGAAATAATAGATATAAAACAAACAAAATCCCTCCCATCTCCAAGAAAAATGGAGGCTGTCAGGAGTGGACAGTATCTATCTCGAAGCTTCCTCTGTTGTTTTTAGGAATGCTGAGTTAAACAAAGCAAAACTGCAAACTGCAGGGTAGGCTAGGAAGTAGTCGGTTAGAGAGCTGCCACTGAAAGCCCTTGTTCTCACTCAGGTGATACACAGCTGAACTATACTGCTGCAAAAAAAGAAGAAGAATCATCTCTCATGATCATCCCATGATAATTTTTAAACGCTTTACTCATAAAGAATCGGGGAGAAGATTAGTCTACAATTGTTCAGCCAACAATGACTTTTCAATGCACTTATTTCTGTTGCATATGGAATATAATTCCATTATGGTCTGTGAGGTGATGTGCTAGAGCCCCCAAGACAACTCTTAGCTTATGAAGAACTAGTCAAGTATCAGCGACCTTAACCTAAACAAAATTGAAGTTCTCTGTGCAATGGTCATTTGCAATTGAGCAATCACTCTTTTTGCACATAATTTAGATATCAAGACAGAAAGAAGGGCCTTGGATTTGCAAACAGATGTATATACCATTGATCCAATATATAATAATTACAATTAACACAAACACAAGGGAAAGAACCAGCTCCTTCCCTTGTGTTAAAAAAAGAAGAAAATTCTAATTACCCATTCAAGATCCCACTCTCAAAAATAGGAAGATTCACCTGTTGTATCTCTTCCCTACCCATCAATTTTATAATTGCAAACACCAGTCAACCTGCAACTGATTATCGTGGCAGTTTTATACCATTCATGTAATTACAGACTCTTGGCTTGTAAGTTGAGGAAATCAGTTAACAATGGAAGCTAGAGCTAAAGGCTATAAAAACATGTCTACTGTCTTGCTTTGCATTCTATATTGCTAAAAAAAATGGAGACACTGTGGACCCCATAAGCAATAAGAAATGGGGACATTATCTGCTTAGTTGCCCAATTTCAGATGGACCTCTATACTTTTAGGACTACCAGATTCAAGCACCAACTGGGAATTAGGCATATAGATGTATTGTTTGCTTAATTTTTATCCCCTCATTCTGAGGGCTAAGAATCATATAATTTACACCTCTTTTGCATAAATGAAATATATTTCATTCACTCAGTATCTGACCTTCAGAACTAGAAAGACAGAGATCTTTTCCTTAGTGTGATCAAATTCTTTGCACCTAGCCTCTTATTCAAAGGTACAACATACACAAATCTGGTAGGCCTAAAAACTGAAGAGGCATATTGGAAAACGGCAAGCAATTCTCTTCTCCACAATATACACATTTTTAAAAAGAATCCTTTGTGAATAGGTCAATTGATTCCTCCAATTTTCTGTTTTCACCCTAAATGCCACACCTTTAGCACAAAATGACCCAGACGATGATATCCATGTGAATCAAACATTCCAATGATAATAATATTCCATTTCTTTACAATTATTGAAACTTCCTCATCCATTTCACACAATTTCCATTGGCCCTTCAATGCACAAATTAATTGCTCTTATCATTAAAAATAAAAACAAAATTTTATAAATGGCAAAATTATAATCTGCAAAAATTAAGAACAAACAAAAAGTCCTTTTATGGCTTTGATCTCCCTTGCAAAGGGTAAAAGGAGGAATATTGCCAGCCTAAAAAATAAAACATGTATATAGATATTGATAGATAGATAGATAGATCAATTATCTTCACACTGTGTTATCATTTTTTTTCCTTCTCTTCTGGGTATGGCTCTTAGCAGTACTTATTAGTGAGCCAAGACAAGTGCTGATCCCAGCAAGATGAAGAAGAGACCCAGCCGCCTCTTTGAGTTCGTCATCAATTTCTTGGCAGAGTTCCTCCAGGACCTTCTGATGAGGCTGGGCCTCATCTGTGATACTGACACATGGCTGTGAGGTATAACCACTGTCTGCCAGAGAGTCATCGTCATCTTCATTGTCATCTGTGTCCACTTCACTCTGAAATCCTTCACTGCCGTCACTCCCTGTCCGGGTGGCCTCTGAGACAAATTTGTATACATCATCGACAGAGGACAGGGAAGACATGCTAGAGAGCGATGAACAACGCTGTGCAGCCACACTGCTGGCGCTGTAATTGTGGTCCTCCTTGGGGTCAATGTTAGGGACTGCTGGATCACTCTCTTCTTGGGTGTGGTTATGGAATGTGCTACCATATTTCCTTTTCTTGGAGAGCTTGAGGGATGGTGGCTTTTCACCTGAGAAAAAAACAAAAAATCTTCTGAAAATTCAAGGGAGACAATGGGTCCGACAAACATGTTTCCATGTTTAAACCATCAGGTGTCAGGATTCCAGCAGTTACTCCAATTAAATCATGAGTCTCGGACCAAACTTCCAAAACTTCAAAAGATTTATTGGGAGTTAACATATCTGGCACTGCCTGGGTGTAGCCGACTCTGAGACACATAATTCATTGTCACTCTTGACCCTGGTTTCCCCCCACCCCCTGGGTGTATCATAATTCATATTATCCAATGCGACACATCCATAGCCAAGAGTCATCAATCATGTTCTCCAGTTAGATTTTTGCATGGCAGAAACTTCAGTCACCTAGTTACTATCTCTAAAAAATTATGTATAGAATGTACTTTCAATTTCCAAACTGCCATACTGCTTTTTCAAACCCCTTTCCCTCCTCCCTTTTTGTTGGCAACTCTAAAACAACCATAGAAATATTTTAGGAGTTGACATCAGGAAGGGATTCAATTAAAACCCAGCTAAATAATAGGAATGAGATCCTTTATTGCCCTGTGTTTATTTCTTAGCTGAAATTTTAGATCATTCATTTCTGGAATAGTTTTCATTATGTAAATCAACAATGTATTATTTCAGGGTGTTGGACTTCTACTTCCCCAGGCAGTGTGTATAATAGTTCTGCCACCTGAAAAATTATGGAAATTGAAGTTCAGTTTATGGACAACCTCAGGTAGGGGAATATGTCGCTATGTCATTTGATTGATCTCCCTCTCTCCTTCATCACACACAACCTTTTCTTTCCCTCTTTCATTTTCTGCTCCTCTTTTTCTGGTTTCCAGGGGCACTGACTGAATCTTGTACTATCCCAATTCCCTCAACCCCTTCCTCAGTGTTCAATGAATTTTCACAAGTTCCATTACCATTTTGTTCGAAAATTGAACCTAACCATGGTATTAATAATGCTACTCAGTCTGGAAGCAAGTCACTTACTGGATATGCATGTAATCTTTAAGAACAGAGCCAGTGGATCTAACTAACAAAGGGCTGGGCAACCATCTTTCTCTCTCTAGCAACATCTTATCAGGGACAATATTTGGATGGTAATGTGCTGATGGAGACCAAAGCTTTAACTGTAATTGTAACAAGGATCTTAATCCCTTCCTCTTGAAATTTTACACGCATACACACACATCACTCCTCCAATCAATAGATTGCATGGAAATAAAACTTTATAGGCAGTGTGAACGAATCTCCTGCAGATATTCTGAAATATAGGTAATCATCAACTTACAACCATAACTAGACACTGGAATTTCTGTTGTTAAATCATTGCAGTCATAAGTCAAGTTGGACCTAACTTTATGACAATTTTTATGGGGGTCATTAAGCAAATCCAGCTTCACCAATGGGTGTTTATTGCTAGAAATTGGCAAAAAGTTGCAAATCATGGCCATAGGAAAATGCAACCATTTGTAAATGCAAGAGCCGGTGGCCAAGCTCCTGAACTGCATTCACATGATCATAGGGTGGTGTAACAGTCAAAAGTGTAAGTATAGATAGACTCACTTTTTTTTTCCAAGGCCCCTGTAACTTTGAACCATTGTTAAGCAAATGGTAAGTTGCGGGTTACCTGTAAAACTGAAGAGTGCATGAAATTGTGCCATAGGTGACATGTTGCTGGCATCTAATCCAGCATCCCGATTCCCAGAAAGCAACCAGATCCTTGGGGAAACTGACAATAAGAGCAATAAGCTATCTATGCCAATACTGCCTTCAACTGAGGACCTACCACCTCCACAAGGATGCTGTTAACAGAACAGTTCTCCATGAATGTTTCTAACATCCCCTCTGAAATTATCAAAGGTAATGGACTTTGCATACCTTGTGGCTCCTAATTCCATAAAGCAATAAAGCTATGTGAGAAGGGCTTTCCGTTTCCAGAAATCTCCTGCCTATTACTTTCAGTGGATGATCCTGAGTTCTGGGTTATGAAAAAAGAAAAGGAGGGGGAAGAAAACACTTCTTCTGCTACCAGGAAAAAATAGTAACATCAAAGCTGTAACTGGTATAAAAAAAAGATGCTTTAAATCTTTCTCCATGCCTGTGTTCAGAAAATTCTACATGACTTCCATCCAGTTTCCTTTAAACAATCCTAGAATTGTTTTAGTTGCCCTTTTTCAAATAATTTTGGTTGTTTTCAAGGTCAGGATCACTCACTCATGAGTGAAAGTACTAGAGCTCTAAGTAAACTGAGAAATTGAAAAAAACATAACAAGGTGTTTTTGGAATAAAACTTCTGTGTAGCTGCCAAGAAAGCTTCATGGATATGTCTATATTAGAAGTCAAAGAAAACTTGAGGGAGACTTTATATCTTTTAACAACTTTGGGAATTTGGCTAAGCAATCAGATTTCCATTATTTATTTCAGTAGAAAAACAATTAAGTTTTTTTTTAAGTTTGTAAATGAACATCTTTCTATCAAACCGTCAATTGCTTAAGCTCTTAATTTTAAAAACGTATAGTTAAAATAAATTTACAAAAACAATATTCCTTGAAAAGAAAACAGATTTATCGTACTTACAATCTAAAATGTCTTGTTCAATGGAAGTATTCAAGAGCATCATGGCAGTAGCAGCATCGATATCTGAATCTGAAAATCAGAAAAAGAAAAAAAGCTCCCCATGTCAATTAACCTCAATTAAGTTTGATCTGGAAAGTATTATTATCATAGAATAACCAGTCAGAATTCATTCCTAGAAATTTGGATCGGAAACAATTGTCTAGAGATCAAGACTTTTAAAGCTTTGATTCTGAATATTTATCAGAAAATGATTAGTATAACCAAAACCTCATCAATTAATCTACTGTCAAATGAAAAACTCGTATATAGAACTTTTAAAATGGCAGATCTGGTTTCTTTTCTCATTTTTTTTCACTGCAAAGGCTGATTTCATATCAAGGTGAGGCAGTTTCCATCTGTTGATAGTTTTTTTTAACTGCTACCAGACTTCTTCTCATGGCAAGATGTTATTCTCATGCAGCGATCTGAGGCAACACAAACTAGCCATACTTCCAAACCCAGGTAGTTCAAATAATACATTGAAACTTCAAACCACATTGGCAAACCACACTAAAACTTCAAACAAAAGTTTCCAATCTTAGTACTCTTAGTTTTCCCATTTAGTATCTGTACAAATGCTGTGAACCAAGTCTTGCTTTGCAACTATGAACAAGTTTTGAGTTCAAATTCTTCCTTCTCCTCATGTGATCAAATTCCCATTATATCAATAAAGTGCAGTTCTAGACAGGTTTATAGAATGTGTTTCCTATCTGCTTATCATGAAGAGCTGACCAATTCAGACTTTTTAACAAAGGATAGGTAAAGGAGCAACAGGAAAAAATACTTACCTTTGATAGATCGTCCCTGACATTGTTTCCGAACTGAGGTTAAATAGCAAGGAGATGATGAACCACTGGAAAGAGAGGGGGAAAAAAATCTCAAAATTCAGAATCTATGCAATGGAAGACAAAATTAACATGAGCCAATTGTATTTTCAGCTATTATAATTTCAATACACATAATTAAATGTATGTAACAAACTCCAGGAACTTCCAAATGGATTCTCAAATGAACCATACCAAATTGATTTCTAAACCAACAATTAGAGATAGATGCCATGATCACATGACCATGGGAGTGCTGCAATGGTCGTAAGTGTGAAAAACAGTTATAATTAACTTTTTCCAGTACTGTTCTAATTTCAAACAGTTACTAAATGAACTGTTGTAAATCGAGAATTATCTGTTCATCAAGACCAGGGCTGTCAAACCTGCAGCCTACGGGCCGGATACACCATCACGCGCTGGCCACACCCACACCCAGTTTAGCAAAGGAGGAAAAAGTCATGATACGTCACATGATGATGCTGTGACAAAGCGAGTTTGACACCCCTGATCAAGACTATTTTGGGAAGAAGGGTCCAGGAACAGTTTGTCCTTCCTGCAGTGGTGTAATTATTTCAGATCAGTCTGTACTTCAAGATGCTTGTATAATTTTCAAAGGCTTTCTAATCTATAAAGCATACTTACAGCTAATCAACACAGAAGCTCTTGGTTTGGTATTAATTTACTTGTATAGTTAAAAATAAAACCCTATTTCACCAGAAACACTGTGATATCACTAAGAAACTTGGGCCTACATCTTCAAGTTATTACATGCTAATTTATGTTGGCATCAGCTCCTGAAGACCAAGAATGGAGTATACCTGCACTATAATATTATATAGTCCCTAGAGCAGACCTGGACATTTTAGGGTCCATGGGCCATATGCGGCCCTTTGGCTGTCCCTTTCTGGCCCACATAATGTCAGTGGGAAATTAGAAATCAAATGTAAGTGTATGCCACATATGTAATACAGCTGCATTGCTTTTACTTTGAAGACGACTGCTTTTTGGGGGGGGTTCAATTTAAGTATACGTGTGTGTGCCTACGCATCATCTCAGCCTTCCACCCTTCCCAACAGTCCTAGTTTCTCATGTGGCCTCTTGGAAAAGTTAATTGCCTCCTCCTGCTTTTGAGCAATGAGGAAGCAAGTCAAGTGATGTTAAAAGTTTAAAACTCTCCAGCTTTAGCCCTTATGTACTTCGTTCATTTTAATAGCATCGTTTTACAACATTTCAAATATCTACTCCAGAATTTAATGGCCAGTGGACAATTATCACTGAGACATCTTTTGTAGATAGCCCATGTTATGGACATCTTTCCCTAAATCTCTTCTTTTTAACCTTTTAGCCTCAGGCAATTTCCTAAATGTATTAACACAGGAGTTTGTTTCTTTGCTTATGGATCACTTTGCTTATGGATAACAAGCATCCATTGGTAAGTAGGACCAAAATCAAAACAAAGTGAGGTAACCTGATTTTCTTCCAGCCTTCTTTCATTCTAGCACTTCCCAAAGGCTGGCACTATCTTTGGAAAATTAGGGCAGGGTTCATCTGGGCCCCTCAAGTCTACACTAACCAGGCTAACTCACTGCTCACTCCAGGAATTCGATTCTGAGTGGCTCCAAGGTTGACTCAGCCTTCCGTCCTTCTGAAATCAGTAAAATTGTTAGGGGCAATAAGCTGACTCTGTAAACCGCTTAGAGAGAGCTGTAAAGCACTATGAAGCAGTATGTAAGTCTAAGTCTACTGCTATTCTTTTAATGGACTTATAAGTCTTTCAAATTGCCTTCTGCAAGTTTTTCTAAACTGCTTTTTAAATTACTCATTTCACTTCCTAATTGGCCCAATTTTTATATCAGCTTATTTTTTTATCTATTGCTTTCATATATTTTACCATTCTGAGTCTGTTACTATATTTCAATGTTCTTGCAGCCACCTTAAAAATTACACTCACAGCAAAATAAAAGTATCAATTGTATTAATTTTTTAAACAACATTCTATATTTAAAGGCTCAGGGACCTATTTTTGAGGCTAGATATGACACAAAACGAAGAATGCGAGGCACGGCAAACTAATACTGTAACAAACATGCACTTTTGGTGATAGCCAAGTTGGAAAGTAGAAAAAAACTCTAAATAATATAAAGCGATATACCAGAGATTTTATTTCTGTGCCTCCCTGAATGTACAATGCTCCTAAGAACAGAAAACAAAATTCATTCATCTTTTTTGTCCGGTTATTACATGAATATAAGTCTGAATTTCAAATTCACATACCTGTGCTTCAAAAATAATAATAATAATCATCTCATCCTTACAACTTCTTCAGAAATGTCATCATTTTTAGAATTTTTTTCTTTAAAAGGCCTTATGCAATTGTGTCAATTTTTAAACTGTATTTAAAAAACATTTCATTCAGTTGTAATTTCATGTGAAATATGAGCTTTTCTCTCCCAGGTTATCGCCACACTATAAGTCATCATGGCTTTGAGAGGAGCTGCAAAGCTTCTTTGGGATTGTCGGTGCCTGGTACATCTCAGGGGTAGTTGGGGCAGAGTCCAAGGAGCAAAAGTAGCTCTGTCCTCTTTTCCACAAGGCCATCTGTGGTCTGTCAGGCTCATACGCTACACTGGAATTTGGGCCATGCCTCAAATCTCATTCCTTATATTACCTGTTCAAAAATGAACTATGTAATGCAAAAGTTCTATGAAACATTATTTTTCTACATACTTATACTCCTAAACAAGAAGCTCCATTACCTGGTTTATACAGAGTCCTTTACATCTCTCAGATATCACAAACAATTAAATTCCTTTTTTTTTTATCCCAGTAACAAAATTCCAATAACTACAAGAGGCTGGCTATTGAGATGAAAATATAAAATTGCCTTGTTCAGTGCTGGTCTCCTGTATTCTGTGACTGAGGCATGCTGATTTGGAGGAGGGAAGCACACTCAGTGCATTTGGGAACAGGGAATGCATTTCTGCCTACAAAATATGGGATCTGCCATTGAATATGAGCTGTTCTCCAATTTTCAAAAAGAAAAAAAATAAGGATATAGAAAAACAGCTTTCCATCACAGTCTGGTCAAAATAAAAACTGTCCCATCTTCTCTTTAGTTATATTATCTGGAAAATCTTTTCCTCCAAGGTTGTGTTGCTTGGAAAAAGAAATCCTACCTTAGTGGTGATGCTGGTGGGGTATAAAATGCAAATGTGGAGGGAAATGGTTGCTTCTTCAGAGCCTGTACAAGGTTTGGTTTGTATTCTGGATCAACACACCACAATGAACCTTTTCCGTTCACCTAGGAAACAACTATGCATTAGAACTGATTACAGGCAGTTTCAATAGGAACATCAGATATAATAGTGCGTTACACTCCACAGGTGCTTGTATAAAATGTATCACTATTTTTATGTTTAAAGGCCTTAAGATGAATATGAACACAGCTGGAGGCACACTTCTCTGAATAAGCATGTTCAACGGATCATGACTGCAATCCCACCACTTTGGCACTGTATTCATCACTGGTAACAGCAGCTGAAGACCTCAAGAGAGAATTGCCATCCCTACGGTCCTGTGCCTCTCCAGAAGATTGACTGACCTCAGGAACATGATAGGAAAAGAAGGGGCTTGCAACTTTCCTCACAAGTGCTTTTCTTTTCCTCATGGCAGCACTGGGGTCATATTTATGGACATATACACAGTTAAAACCTTTTCAATCTAATGTTTACCCACTTGGAAAGTTTGGATATTTTTTTGCCACTACCAAACTTCAAGGAAAAAAACAGCCTTATCTTCTTTAAAAAAATGGTTATCGTACGTGCCAAGCTTCTTCTACCTGTAACTATATTTTCATAAGACATGAAAAATGTAGCATTATTTATGTATCAGATTTACGTCCTGCTTTTCCTTCTGGAGATTAATATAACATATTGTCAGCCCCATCAGGCAGACCAGACCAGGAATTCAACTCCACATGAAGGCTAAAATTGATTTTATTTAGATTGGCTATAGTAATGAAATTTTGACAGTTTGTCCCCTTCCTCCATCTTCAGTGAATTAGGCAGATTTCTGTCTGAGTTACTTCCAAACTAATTGTATCTCTTTGTTCTGGACTTTATCCCCCTTTGCCTTGGCAATACTTTCTGCAAGGCCATCTGCCTTACTCTCTTACCAAGGTTTAGCAATTTGCTTTTCCATACTTGATATTTGAAAAATGTCAAATTACTTGTATTGATTTATTGAAGTAAATAGTTCCTCTAAAATTTCCTTCTTTCTTTTCATAAAAAAGACCAACTAAGACCATTTATTTAAAAAAACCCAAACTTCATATTTAAAAAATTGCTGTGATAACAAAGTTTGAAAGCTACTTTTGTTTTCTTAGACCCACCATTCACAATTTTTACTCAAACTATGAGAAATACATTTAATAAAGGAAAGGAAAATTCTGTAGCTAATTGCTCAGTGTCCCTTTTTTTCTTAAGCAATTACTTTTCTACCTCCAATGTTTATAATTAACCTATATAATGTTAGACCTCTTTGATGTTTACTATTATGATGATCAAAATGGAATAAAAATATAACTTTTTTTTAATAAAAATGAGCATTTTGTTTACACACTTTGTAATGCAGAGTTTGAAATTCAACCTTCCTTCAAGTTAAGGAGTTGTCCAAATTTCTTGGATTAGAAGTACTTCTTGACTTATGACTGCAATGAAACCCAGAATTTCTGTTGCATGTTATGACAGTTGTAACTTGAGGCACCCATGCGACCAACCCAATTTTACATTTTTTGCAGCAGTTGTTCATTAAGCAAACCCATTGTCCACAATATTTTTTTTTTGCAGAAAACTGGAAGTATACACCGGTTTCCAGAAAATAAAGCAAACTGTGGTCACATCCCTGTGGGATGCTGCCAATAGTCATAAATGCAGGCCAGTTGCCAAGTGACCACAACGTGATCTAGTGATGGGGTGAGAGGGTTGTGGGAATTTCAAATCCCAGACTTAAGTACCTTTGGGGGAATCCATTGTAACTTTGAACAGTTGCTAAGTGACTGGTTATAATTTGAGGACTACCTTGAATCAGCTCCAGATGGAGTGTAAATCTTAAAAAAGTTGTCCTTTCTCAATTTTTGTCAATAAACTTTTTGAAAGAGAACACAAGAATTCCAGATCATAGAGAATAATCTCTCCACTCTGAATGACAATTCCTATCAGATAAAAACATAGTAACTATCACAGAAAGCAATTCTATCCATTGTAATACATATAGCAAGAAATAGCATCATATTGTTGTAGTGTGGTCTTCCTGCTCAGCATTATAACAAGGCACATCTCTTTTCCAGGATTGATTAAGACATCAGTTTAGAATGTGGCAGACTGTGTGAGCTCTGGTCCTGCCTTAACCATGAAAGCCAGCTGAGTGACCTTGGGCTAGTCACACTCTCAGCCCAAGTCACCTCACACGATAGTTGCTGTGGGGAAAATAGGAGATAGATAGATTTGTGGACATATTCGCCATCTTTGTAGCTATTTGTAAAAATAATAAAGGCAGGATATAAATAAGTAAACAAGTAAATCAATTAATTTCCATTCTATCCTCTCTGATGCTTCTTGTCCCCAAAAACCCAATAGATATTCTGTGATCATCTTTAATCCTCAACTTAATGGATTAATGAGAAAATTTTCTTACTTGTTTTTTAATGGCCCTATTCAAGGAACATACCATACATGAGACTAGGTTGTAGAATGTTACCTGTCAATTTGGAAATAAATGCTGAATCAGATTTGAATCCTGTTTCTGATACCCAGGGCCAAACCACTTCCCTCTGCTGGTTTAAATATATTTATCTTATTCTAGGCAATTTAGTTATTCAGTGTCTTTTTCACTTTGGCTTGCATGCATGTTATATTAATATTTTGTCTTCAAATGCCTGTTTGGAAGCATTAAAGCTGAAGTTGAAAACATCAATAGATAGGATTAATAGAATAATTTCTTAATAGCAGCCCTGCTTGTATTTCTAATTGGCTTTTATTTGGAGAGGCCTTTTTGTAAAAGGGTGTTTAGGACATAATGCATGCATTCATCCTCAGCCATCTCTTTCTCTTCAGACAATGAATAAACAGGCACTATTCCAAATTAGCTATGACTTCTCCTACCAGTTCCCAATCTTCCTTTCCAAGTGCTCAAGGTGAATTAACTGGGGCTGTCTTTTTGTTATTCTTAACAACGTATCTCAAATGAGGTACATCTGGCCAAGAGATACTGCCAAAAGCATTTAAGAATTGGATTTCACTGGGGTATAGGTATATAATTGGACTTCATATTTTTTAAATATATACTTATTATCCTCCTTTTTCATATGACTGCCAGCAATTCTTTATCCACAGAAATCAAAGCTATTCCTGCTTCAACTTCAAACAATGATGCATCAAGATGGCTCACTGGGCACCTCATTATCTATTTTAAAGCCAAACGTTAGTGCTTGCAAAGACATCACAGGGTGGTAAGTAATCTCATTTCAATTATTGAACCTAATGCACTTTTAATTTTAAGTCCCACAAATAGGACCCCCCAAAAAGTTGGAATAACCTCAATGGTCCCAATATATTACAATATGCAGGATATTTTTATGAGTCATTGAGTTTGTCATATTTTTGCCATGAACAGTAATACGTTGGGTAAATTTGAATTATTTATTCTTTTGAATAATTTTATTCCTCTTGAATAAAATAAGAGAATGTTACTTTTCAAATAATAAAATTTGCACACAAAAAGTCCCAAGTTCAATTATTTCTGAGATAATCCTTTGAATAACTTAATTAAAAAATTGAGAAAAATCACTGATGCAACAACTCATCATATGGAAAAACAATTCCTCACAATTTTATTTTTAAAAAACATTTATATAGCTGCCCTTTTTGAACCAAACTCTGGGTGTCTCAAAATAAAACAAAATCTATCTACAACAATAAAACATCAAAACAAACAAATTTGGCATTACAACTATACTTTCCCTATGCGAGGGAAGTCTGGTCCTGTGCACTCCCGTCTGTATGCACTCGCTGTAGCACTCTTCTGCTGAGGGCCGCCTCTGCTGAGGCGTTTGTGTCCAGTCTGTAGTGCTTTACAAATGGAGATGAGGAGGACCATGTAGCACCCTGCATATGTCCTCAAGTGAGGTTTGCGTTGCCCAGGCAGATGTGCTAGCTGCACTTCTGGTCAAGTGAGCTGTTACCTGTCTGGGTGTTGGAAGGGCCTGGGTCTCGTAGACCTTGCGTATATAAGCCCTGATCCAGTGGCCTATAGTTGAAGAAGAGAATTTAGTGCCTATTGAAGATGGCTGAAACGAGATGAACAGGGCTTCGGTTTTACGAAACATTGATGTATGTTTGATGTACCTGTGAAGAGCCCTCTGAACATCCAATTTGTGCCATCTGTGCTCTGTCATGTGAAGCGGTAGGGCAAAGGGGTAGGAAGTTTTCCCGACTTCCTGAGCCCTGTGGAAATGAGTTTACCTTTTGGGATGAAGGAGGGGTTGAGGCGCAGGACAATCCTGTTGTCATGGAAGTTGCAGAAGTCTTCCCTGGTGGAAAAAGCTGCCAATTCTGATATGCACCTGGCCGATGTAATGACCACTAAGAAGATGACTTTGAGTGTAAGAAAGCGTAGGCTTACCGATTGAAGATGTTCAAATGGTTCCTGAGTAAATCTTGTAACACTGTAGACAGGTTCCAAGAAGGGTATCTGTGGACTGCTGGCAGTCTAAGATTGACAGCACCTTTAAAGAAGGAGCAGACGACTGGATGATCAGCGAAGGAATTTCTCTTCTTGTAGTGCAACATGGTGGACAGGGCTGCTACCTGCCTGCGTAGAGTACTAGGAGAGAACCCTTTGTCGAGTCCTGTTTGTAGAAAGTCCAGGATCTGTGGCACTGAGGCCACAGTTGGGTCCTTGCCGTTCTTGGTGCACCATTGATGGAACGCTTTCCAGGTAGGTCATATATTCTGTTCATGGAAGGCCTCCTGGAGGCTTGTACTGTTTTGATGACCTTTCTTGAAAAGTTATCCCTCCTCAGGATCCACCTCTCAAGTTCCAGGAGGTCAATTGGAGCCACTGAGGCTCCGGTTGTCCCAAGAGACCCTGGCTGAGAGATATCTTGTCCTGAGGGATCCTCCAAGGGACAGTGACAGGCTCACTAGATCCGCATACCACGACCATCTGGGCCTGTGGGGAGCGATGAAGATGATTTCTGCCTGTTCTAGAAGCACTTTCCTTATCACTCCCGATATGAGGGGC